AATCAAACTTAGAATCTTCATGTAAAATACAGTAAGCCAATTTTCAAATTATCTACAGATTATTCAAATTACCAAAATTAATGCATATCTCATGCATTCAAATTTCAAATAGAATAGACATGGAAAAAGAATAAGCAAATTAATTAAACATATTCCACGTTTGTTCCAATTTCAAATTTACGGAATTGATTTGGCAATCAAAATAGACATGGAAGAAAAAAAATTAACAAAATAAAGCAAGCAGAATAGACATGGGAGAAAATATTAACAGAATACTAAATGAGACTTTTAAAAGAAAAAAAATACTACTAAGAAGACATTAGAACAATCATACTCTATCCCTAAAATTCTTTACCATAAAATGAAAAAAAAAACATTATTAAATTCTCCTACTAAAATCATGATATACATTTTATAAATTGAAAGATAAAGCTTCATCCCTTAAATTCTTTACCATAAAATGAAAAACACATAATTAAATTCTCCTACTAAAATGATGATATGCATCTTATAAATTGAAAGATAAAGAAGATCCCAAGCCTTTAGTGGAAATTCCACCGAAATTTTGTAGGAGGAATAACCCTGCAATTTCACTAGATGAATTTTTTAGAAATATAAAGAACCAAACATAAAAAATAGAAGAATTGGAGTAACAAAATTTTTAGTAAGATTCAAAACCCTCCTCTCTGACCCCTACCCTTTCAAGAAAATCTAAACCCAATATAAAACTTAAAGAAAATGAAAAGAACGTGTTAGGGAGGGTAAGAGGAAAAAGTGAGGGATGGTGGTACTAGAGCAAACGTGGGAGAGAAATTAAAAAAAAAAAACAAAAAAAAAAATAATCCTAGAAAATGGTGGGACTTGGGAGGATGGCCAGAGAGACTGGTGGAGAAGAGAGAATGGAGATATAGAGAGAGAAAGAAGAGAGAGATAAGTAACTTATTGAAGTAGTTGGTAGAAAAAATTAAAAAAAAAAAGATTTTGTTAATAAAAGGGGACAAAAATTGGATTTTGTTAAATAACAACTTCAAATGAAACAAAAAAAAAAATCGGTAACTTTATTAATTTTGCTATTTGGATTTTGTTATTAAATAGAATAATAAAAAGAAACATCGGACTAAAGAAATAAAATAAATAAACAAGCATAAAAGGAAAAATAAGCCGGACAAAATACGGTATCTACAGTTTGCCACCCTTTATCTATCCTGAAAGAACTTAAAGGTTGACAAAGAAAAAGATAAAGTACTTGGACGTCAATTTTTCATTTTGATCAAAGCAACAGATGTGGCTTGACAAAGATTAGATGATAAAACAAGAAATGGGCGGAAGAGGAGATGGATAAAGGTGACAAAGACACAAAGAAGTAGAATTTCGACCCAGCTCTAGGACTAGATTTGAAAGCAAAGCTTGAGGTAATAGGCTTCAACCTTAGCTCTATGACTAGGTTCATAGAAGTAGAGAAAAGGGTTGAGGGATATAAGAAATCTACGACAGGGGAAAGAAGGTGGTTAGAGAAAAAATGGGAGCATGCAGACATGGAGAAATAGAACTTTGACCTCAGCTCTAGGACTGACTTCGAAAAAAAAGTTTGAGAAATAGACTTCAACCTCAACTCTAGGGTAGGGCTTGAAAATCAATGAACCTGGATAAATGAATGCTTTTACCTTAGTTCTAGGACTGAGTTTGATATAATCCAAAATTGGTGAATGGACTTCGAATGAGGGCTTCAACCTCAGCTCTAGGACTAGATTTGATGTAATCTAAAATTGGAGAAAATACTTCGATCTCAACTCTAGGGCAGGACTCGAAAATCAATGGACCTAGATAAACACAAGTTACGACCTCAGTTCTAAGACTGAGTTCGATTTACCTAACATTTGATAAAATATAGGAAGAAGAAGATGTAGAGGTTGAGGGAGAAAAAGAAATTGGTGAAAGAGGATAGAAGGTAGTTAGAAAGAAAGAAGAAGCTTGTAGACATGGAGAAATAAAACTTCGACCCCAGCTCTAAGATTGGGATTGAAAGCAAAGCTTGAGAGAGAAAAAAAAAAAAAAAGCTTTGACCTTAGCTCTAGGCAGTCTCTAAAATTAAAACTTTATAAAAACATGTTAATATATTGAAGGTTTTGAAGGGATATGAATCCCGGAGCGGAAGCGGACCGTTGTTCGTGAAATTTGAGAAACAAAATAAAAAAATTCAAGATGAAAATACAGGGGAAAACTTTACCTTTGAAGAACGTTTCTTCAACAGTTTCCACCCGAATACCACCACTGTGTCTTCCTCGCCATCCTCTTGGGTCTCGAGACCGTGCTTGTGGGAGCATCTCTTTTGGAATGAGAGGGAGTATTGAGAGAGCTTGAGAGAGATTCAAAATGGGAGTTCTTTCTTTTTCGTTATGTAAAGATTGCATAACCTGCAACCCATTTGACAAAGAAAAAGAAGAATGACGTGGGGTACACGTCATTACCAACTTCCCACTCCCGTGCAATTTTGCAGGGGAGTTTAATATTAATATTAATAATATATAATTAATATATATATATATATATAATATATATTTATAATATATAAATATGTAATAATTAATATATATATAATTAATTAATTAATCATATTTATTAATTATTAATCTAATTAATAATTAATTAATATATATATATATATCAAATAATTAACATTTAATTATTCATCACATAAATAGAATCATATTCTATAGCATTTCTCTCGTATAACCTATAGTTTTAATGTACATCTTATGCACATTATTTTTAACCTATAGTTTTAATATGAATCTTATTCATATTAATTTTATTTGAATCTCATTCAAATAATTTCTCTCATAATATATAGTTTTAATTTATAATTAACTATATATTATAATGTATCAATATACATATAATCCCTTAAGTAATTTGAACAATTCAAATTCTTCCAAAAACTCGATCCTCGTTTTACCTGTTATGAGCTAGCAAGGTGACCTAATAGACCTACAGATCCGAAGCTCCAACGATACGAGATTAATCGGTCAAACTCATTTATCGAGTTAATCAACATTCGTTAACTACGGGTCATTCCACTAAAGACCCGTAGTTGTACTCTTCTCACTGCAGAATGTTTACATGTCCACGGATATACGACCATTAATGACAAGTCAATCCTTTACGAGTGCTCGTAACTCAAGTTGGGTCAAATTATCGTTTTACCCATGAGTTACATCTTACTCCTTAAATACCACTACTCCTCTAATGAACAACTCGGTTATGGTCCGACCAATAACCGGAAGTCCCTCTCGGGCCAATGAAAGGGTGGGGCACCTTGTTCAAGTCCCGGAGTCAGCATTTAAGGGAACACTCATCTACTCCCCTCAAGTCGGAGAGGAGTGAATTTCATCTTGTGAAGTTATGTTCCCAGCTCCCCACTCGGTTTTGTCCCCAAAATGGTAGGAATGTTGAGTCGGCAACTTGGGTCACTCTCACCCATACAGATCAAAGGCGAGTCCTCACGAGCAGGAGTCCATAAATCACTCAGGATTGAAAATGAGTTGTCTGGTCATCCTAAGAAACAATAATCTATTAGTTAACGGTGTTACATCTAAACATTGACTATTTCGTGGTCCGGTCTTATACAAACTCATTGTATAGTATACCCCCACTAGCATGTCTCCACACGAACGACTTGGATCGAGTCGTCTGTAACCTTTATAGAGTGGGTCATATCCATAGTGTTGCCAGGATAAGGTACCCAGCCTTATTCATATACTATAGACCCTTTAGGTTATTCACCGGACATTATCCACTTATATATCAGGGTATATCAAATATATACCTCGTATATCATGGGTATATCAAATATATACCTAGTATATATACTGTCCCGGTTACACTAAAATAACCTCGAATGTTTAGTTTATTTGATTTTAGACAATGTAATGCAATGAATTCAACAACAAATTTATTGAATAAAACTTTATTGAATATACATTTGTTTTTACATAAATACAAACTACGAATTTAGGGCAATACACCCAACAGGTTTTAACCCTTTGAGATGAATCGTCTTTGCTTATCAAATATGTAATTTTGTAAATATAGAAGATAGCTCACTATCTCACATCTTTACCATCCTTTATTAATGATTGACAACTTTCATCATAGGATAAAACAAGACACAGACGATGTAAATTCCTCACCTCGGTGGCTAAATGTATTAAACTATTTATTTCTCTAAGTCATATTTATCTATGTACTCTCCTCTTTCCACGTAAAACTTTGAGGATGTTTGCGCTGCCACATCATCCTTTTATTGTGGAATTTAGACTTTCCATTTAGTGGTTGCTTGTACCATACTTACAAGAGTATTTCATAGCATTGTTAGTTTATAGTTGTTAAAATACAGTGGAGCCAAAACTAAATGGGCCATAAAACCTCAAAAGCCTAAAACATGTCCTTATGTTCAACCTATTTTTGTAAACATAAGATCTTTTAGCCATAGGGTTATTTTTGTGGTGTTGATGCATCAAAAGAAAAAGGTGGCAGCTGGTGTTTTCGTTGGCAGAGAAAGAGAAGAGAAAAGAGGTTTGTAGAGCATTGTCGGCAACCCATTCTCATGAGGTTAGTGAGGTTTTTCATTCTGTAGGTGGCCATTGTTGTGGCATCTAGAGAGAGCTTTGTAGAGCGTTTGTGAGGTCCATTGTATTTGTCCCAAAATCATAGTAGAATCCGTTGTTGTGGAAGACTGGACGTAGCCCATAGTTGGGGTGAACTAGTATAAATTGCTTGTGTCGTTTTCTGTGCTTTCCCTATTTTTCTTAGTATTGTGTGTGACTTAGTTTTCATTGACAAACTGTGAAAGTGGAAAATATTACTGGTGAGTAAATTTTCCCAAGAATAGTTACAATAAGAGTTACTACATTTCCATTGGTTACTTGAAGTAATAACACAGGTAGGAAAAACAAGAGTATTTCATAGCATTGTTGATATTTGACTTGTTACATAACACTAGTAGAAGACGAAATATATAAACTGAGAAATATATACAAGAACGTACGAATTATTTCAACGAGAGAAAACAACATTTAAAGAACTAAATGCAAGATTTTCAAAAGCTACTCTCGAACGTTTCTGAACTGTAGGAAATCTTCTAAGGTCAATACCTTCATGCGTATTACTTTAGGACATAGTCTACATTGACTGGACTTTTCAATTCATCTCCATCCATATTAGTTAAAAACAAAGTTCCTCCAGAAAATTCCTTTTTTACAATATACGAGCCTTCATAATTTGGACTCCACTTTCCTCGATAATCTTTTTGTTGAGAGGGAAGTATCCTTTTCAATATTAGATCTCCTTCTCAGAAGTACTTTTTTATCATATGCACGCATTCATCTTCTTTGATAAAGTTGTCCATGACTTAAAGCTGTTAACCGTTTTTCTTCCACAAAGTTCAATTGTTCGTACGGAGCACGTATCCATTCAACTTCTTACAATTTAGTTTCCATAAGAACCCTTAATGATGGTATCTCCACTTCTAACGGAAGAACAACCTCAATACCGTAAACTAAGGAGAATAGTGTTGCCCCTCTTGAAGTATGGATTGATGTGCAATACCCATGTAATGATAATATCATAGATCAAAGAGGAAGATGCACCAGTAATGATAATATCTTCGACGTAAACAAGAAGAGCAAAAAAGTTATCACCAGATCCTTTTACAAACATAAAATAATCCGACTTAGTTTACCTAAAACCAAGGAGTAATAAAGCATGTGAAAACTTGTCAAACCACGGACGAGATTCTTGTTTGAGTCCATAAATTGACTTATAAAGTCGACAAACTAAATGCTCCCCCTTAGGGAAAACCTTATCATACTTATATCCTAAAGGCAAATCTATATACACCTCCTCAAACAAATCCCCATGTAAAAAAAAGCATTATTAACATCCAATTGTACTAAGGGCCAATTATATGAAATAGCAAGATGAAGTAAGATCTTGACCGTAACTAATTTAGCAACAGGTGAGAAACTTTCAATATAATCAAGGCATTCTTGCTTAATGAAACCCTTAGCTACAAACCTCGCTTTATAACGCTCAATAGATCCATTAGAATGATGTTTGATCTTGTAAAATCATTTCCATCCAATTGAATAGTGGCCGGAAGGCAAAAGCACTGTGAACCAAGTATTATTAGCTTCCATGGCATCCCATCCAGCACGCATTGCATCCCACCAATGAGAGTGAGGAACTGCTTGATAGTAAAAGGTTTGTTCATAATGGGTTGAAACATGCAACACAAAATGACAATACCCAGATGACAAGGAAGCATATGACAAATAATTTTGCAATGGATATCTCAAAGAAGTAGAAGGTAATGGAGAATACTGGAGAGGGCTGTAATGATAATCTTGAAGATATGATGGTTTTTGAACAGTACGAGAGGACTATCAGGGAGCAAGTAAATGCCAAATTTTCAATGTTAGTAATAGGAAAAACTGAATAGTCAGTAGCAGTAGAAGAATCAACATTACTATTATTTTGCTCGGCAGAATGATGAAAATCAGCATAAATACCGTCAGAAACCAAGGCATGAAGAGAACCAACAGATATATCATCACATAAATCAGTATGTAAAGCATCAGAAGACAATTCAGAGGGCAGACCATCATTAACCTCAAAAGAAGAATAAGCAGTGGTCATGGGCAATCCAAAATAACCAAAAGATTTTGACAAGATAATGTATGGAAAAGGATCAACAACAACATTTTCTAGAGAAATATTGTGAAATGGAAAAATATACTCATGAAAAATAACATCCCGTGAAATGAAAATTTGTCCGTTCTCAATATCATAAAGGTGATACCCTTTAATGCCAGGAGGATAACCAAGAAAAATATAGGCAATTGCCTATGGATGAAACTTAGAATGTTGTGTGGTCAATGTGGATGCAACATAGAGACAATCAAATACGTGTAGATAAGAATAATCAACAAGATGTTCGTGTAAGCGTTCAAAAGGGGCATGTCATTCCAAGATAGGAGAAGGACTACAATTAATTATAAAAGAGGTAGTGAGAACATATTCTCCCCAAAATTTAATGGGTACCCGAGACTGAAAATACAAGGACCTAGCCACATTCAATAACTGCTAACGTTTTCTTTCCACTACAGAATTTTGTTCCGGTCGACCCACACAAGAATATTGATGAATGATCCCTTTAGCATGAAAAAATCAGTAAAGGCTAATTCTGGTTAATGTCTTTGCCAAATTGAGTTTTAACCAGTTGAAAAGAAACAATGAACAATAGATAAAACATCAGATTTATGGCGTATCAGATATATCAAAGTATAACACAGAAAATCATCCACAATAGTGGGAAAATATCGAAATCTAGCATGAGGATGAACTTGATAAGGTCCCCAAATATCACAATGTACTAAATCAAATAAACTATTTACAATGTTCTTGTGAGCAACCAATAACAACTTCTTTTGTTTAGCTAGATGACATACTAAACAAGGATTAGCAATTGCAAACTGGTTGTACAGTTAACAAATGCTTATCTAATGGGTTTCAAAGCCTAGCATGCAAAGTATGAATGGAAGACATACTAAGATAGTACAAACTATATCAGAAGCACCAACAACAACATATAAACCTTTCCAAAGACTACCCTTGTCAATCGTCTTCAAGAGAAACTTGTCCTGGATAAGACAAGAGTCATCAACAAAACAAACCATTAGAGAAGAATCATGTGTTAAACCGCTGATAGAAATCAGATTGAGCCGGAATGTAGGAACGCGAAGCAACAGACTAGGTGTGATCGGTATATCACCAATAAAATCCACAAAAACACGAGATTGATTCGACAAAGTAACTGTTGCGCCTCAGCTTAATAGCTAGAGGTTAAGTGCAAGTCCACACTGTCACAAGTAATAATCTGGAAATATTCCAAGTTCGTCTCCACAGGGACTAGTTTTCTTTTAAAATTAATTTCGCAAATTGTTGGAATGAGCAATTAGGTTTGTGATAAAAATTGGTGAGATTGGTTGAACACGAAAAACACACGAAAATAATAGAATTTAAAAGGCCAACCCCCTACTACTGTTTAGTTCTAAAATGATGAATTACACCTACCAAATGTGCCCGTAATTACACTCAATTTATGCAAACTGGTTCAACTCCTATTCCATACCGCTTTTGGTTTGTTTAGAAACTTAGGCTAGTGTTTACATATGTCTATGCAACTCTAGAATCCTAAATAAATCAAGTGCCAACTTACGTTTAACGGGTAAGAGAGCCTATGTCTAGGATCTTGTTTTAGTTCTTATTTCTAAGTAACTTCCCGTTTTATCTTGATGAGATCCGTTTGACTCTAACATTCTCAGAATTAAATTCAAACTAGTGTGATTTAAACAAGTGACCAACAAGAAAATCAACTAGATAAATTGTATCAATCAAGATAAGCAAAGAGAGCGTAATACGTCGTGCTCACTGATAGATGTAATTTATAGTGATAAGAACTAAACATTCGTAGGAAGGTTGAAGAAACAATTTAGGGAGTGAAATAAACCACAAAACAAGAGAAGGTAACAAAGTGATGCATTTTCATTAAAATAGAAAGGGAAGTACAAACTTAGAACAAACAGAATTGAAATAAAATAAATAAAAAATAATTTTAAAAATAATAAAGGAAGAACAAAACTTAAAACTGGAATTCAAACTTAGAAGTTAAAGTTGACAAGAATTAGAAAGAAAAAGCAAACAAATGATGTTTGGAGGCTCCTTTTATAGGACATGGATGTAACAAGTATTTAAGAAATTACCACTATTTGTAGAGATTTTAGGAGTCAAACTGAATCTTGGACCAAAAAGTTGTTATTCCCGTTTTGACAATCTATGGCGCACTGCGAAGCTGGAAGTTCCAAAACAATTGGCTAGTGCATCCTTTCTGATAATTTGGAAATACTTGCGTGCCTGACGCATTGCAGTCATCAATTTCTAATTTTCCTCACAAAATAAACAAATTTTCATCAATTAGCCTCTATTTGCTTCTAACTACTTGTCTAAGTCCTTAATAAGGAAATATGCACATTTTCCAGTCCTTAATAACGAAATATGCACATTTTCCATGAATTATAAGCATTAACATACATTTTTCATCATAATTAACCCCCAACCAAGCATGAAAACTACTCTTTTTTAGCCTTTAAGCAAGTCTTATCAGAAACCCCGAAACTGATTTTAAAGAAATAAACAATGCTCGAGAAAAGCATATATGGGCAGATGCTCCTGAATCAATTATCCATTAACCAAAAGAATGTTGAGAGGATAAATCATAGGAGCATATACCTACAACGTATGAGGAAAAGAATCAGGATGCTCCAAGGTCCGAATAGTGTCACTCTTAACATTAGAAAGTTGAGTTGCAACAAACTCAATAGTCCTTGGCATTGTTCAGTATTAAGTCCAGCCAAAGAATCAGGAAGAGTGGTAGACGTGGTGGAAGTTTTTGAAGATGTGGTCGTCGGAGAATTACTAACGCTTGAGGAAGGATTTCCTGGAGGATCTCCATGAAGCTTATAGCATCGATCAACTGTATGCCCTACAATGTCATAATGAGTACAAACGGACTTCTCCTTTTTCTTGTACTAAGAAGATGAGGAAGAGGAGCATGAACCATAAGTATGGGAAGAATTTTTCGCCAGAAGTGCTGTGGCATTAGCAAATGAAGGAGACGAAATCACATGTTGTAAACTTCTTGAGACCCATCAAAAAACACGACATACTCCATTTGAAAGTATTCAACTGTAGCTTTAACACCACCTCTTGAACGTTTGCCGCAGGTGCAAAAAAGGCAGTAAGAAGCCAATTTGGTCCAGAGACTCTTCAATCAGGTGAAGTATGCACTAATATTCACTAACAGATAACTGATCTTGAACAAAATTTGATAAATCGCGCCTAAGCTGAAAAATTCGTGGTCGATTTTGGCATTGGAAGCGTTCTTTAAGATCCAACCATATTTCTTGTGCGATCTTAGTGAACAAAACACCAGCAGAGATTTCTTTGGAAAGAGAGTTAAAAATCCAAGATATCGCCACATAACAAACGATCCAGGAACTCAACGTGTCATCCGTAGGTCACAAAAGAGTTCCATCGACGAAGCCAATCTTGCTCTTCACCGTGAGTGCAATAGTCATGGATCGACTCCATGAAGTATAGTTCTCATCTGTGAGCAAATCAGAAACCAGAACGAGGCTGGTGTTGTCAGAATGATGAAGAAAATACGGATTCGCATGTGGCACTAGAGAAGACTGGTTCAAAGAAGAGATAAGCTCGTAGTGGGAGTGGGATTTACTGGATCTTGAGGTGCATCATCAGGCATGGCAAGTGAAAATTGAAGAAACTGATTCAAGAATGGCAAAGTAACCAAAAAAGAGGAAAAGATTGAAATAACCCTCGTAAATTCTCAATAGTGCTCGGATACCATATTCAACTTTGAGAGTAGGTTAAATCTTGCACAATTTCATTAAATGAAGCTAAGGTTGGAAGTCGTGGTTACAAGAGGTTACAAGAGAGATCTAAACAAACTAATATACAAGAGTAATCTAAACAGACTAACTAAAAGCTAATACTCCTCATAGATTCTGTAGTCCCTTATGAAAGATTAGATTATGAGTTAACATATATACATTCTTTTCAAGAAAGAAAACATATCTATGCTATTTTCTGTCGATTTTTTGCTTCTTTACCTGTGAAGTAGCCTTTTGATTCTCTTTTTGTAATTCACTGCCTTGGATTTTGCTACCTCTGTCATTTCTTTTGTATTCTTCTCCTATATTGGAAAAGATACATAGTTAGTCGACCTTTAAACGTTTGGACTCACATGGTATAATACTACCTCTTATCAGTATCTAATAATATAGTTTCTTCTTCTTTGCTTTTCCTTTTCCCAATCACTCCGACTGCCAAGTAATTTTTAGCTTCACCTTGTTCTTTACCCTACCTTGACCTTCACCATTTCTACAAAGAATTAAAACCTTTTTTTTTTTTTTTTGAGAAATGTAATTTTCAAACAAAATACCTTATAGTTGTATATTACCCTATACAAGAATCTTTGTTATACATAAAAATGTTTTTAGTACAACAAGTGGGAGTGAGGATTCAAACTCACAGCCTTTTGGTAGAAAATAAGTGTCTTAATCTATGTTTCAAAAATGTCTGACTCATACGTCGATATGTTGATGGATTTTTCACCCTTGTCATCGACTGTCAGACATTTTTTTTTTTCGGTGTGGTGATTCTCAAAATATGGATTTGTGCATTTATCAAACAAAAACATTGTAGATATTGTTGTGGGATTGAATCTTTTTTTTAAGATATTTTGGTGCATTGTTAATTTTTTTTTCAAATTTTGTTGCCGTGATTCTCTCGTTCATGCAACTAAATTTAATTTAGTATTTGATTTTATAATAAATAAATAAATATATATATATATATATATATTAATTATTAAAAAAATATAATCCGGACGGGTTTGGGGCATGAATTTCCTATTTTTCGTGTAGGGACCCGATGGGAGTTTCTGTCATCCCTAATGTAGAGACACGAAATACAAATTTAGACAGATGAAAATAAACTTTATAAATTTTGGAGAGAAAAAGAAAATTAGTGAAAGAAAATTTAAATACAAAACGAGATAAATTTTAAAGAACAAATTAAAATTGAGAGGAAAATATATGTTAAACAAAAATGAAATTAGAAAGAAAAAAAAATTAGAAAGAAAAAGAACAATTATAGTGAGAAAAAGTTTAAAGATAAAAAAAATATTCGAAATATACTTTTAGAGAAAATAAATAAATAGAAAGATAAATAAAAAAATTATAGAGACAGATAATTAAACGAGAAAATAAGATATAATTTTCAAAGGAAAAATAGATTAAGAAGAAAAAAGAGTTTTAAAAAACGAAATTGTAGAGAGAAAAAATTCGAGAAAATATTAATTTTTTAGAGAGAGAAATGAGGGTTGATCTGTTCGAAAAAAAAATAAAGGATTAAAATTTTGGAGAAAGAAATAATAATAAATATTTAAAATATAAAAATTTTAGTGAGAGAAAAATAAATTTTGCAAAGAGAAATTTATGATGAAAAAATTTTAGAGTGAGAGAATTTTGTTAGAAATAAATACGATAAAGAAAAAAAAGAGTTGAATATTAAAAGAAAAATTAGATTTTGAAAAACGGAAATAAGTTTATGATTTTTATTTATTTTTTTAAATTTACATAGAATTTTCAAATGATTTTTAAAAATTAAAAACAAATTAGTTATAAATACCCCTATTTTTAGAAAACTAAAAACAAAAAGCCAAAAACCAAAAATAAATTGGTTATCAAATGACCCTTAATAACATTTTGATTTATCTTTTAAAAAAATGTTCTATTAAGAAAAGTAAGCAAATATATCGTAATTCAAAAAAAACTTTTACATTATACCCTTTTAAAAAAAAACGTTCACATTATAACGGCAAGGCACGACAAATATTTATAAATATTAAGTTAACTTATATAATAGTATTAAATTCATAAAAGTAATTAATAAATAAGTGTTGATATGAATTTTGTTTAAGTTGATTGATTCCTATGTTTCAAAAAAAAAAATTGATTGATTCCCCTCCTCAAACTTATATAATGTTACTAAGAAATATATTATTTAAATATATATAAATATTACGCAAATATTTTATTAGTAACATAATTTGTTTCTAAGAAATCATATGGCATGCTTTATCCAATTAAAGCAAATAAATAGTATGAACCTTTTATAATGAAATAATATATTAATAATTACGTGATCGAATATTGAATAGCTAGGATATGTACCTTAGTAGTACAATAAATTTCTCCCTATTAGATTTTGAGGTCAATGGACCAAATATCATATTATATCTAAAGTTCGAAATGTCGACATCGATGAAGATGTTGAGGTTCAGATTTTACGTAACTAAAGATTGTATTGGATTATAAATTATCAATAAAACATAATCCAACAACATTGAACTTTAGTTTACTAATTCAATTAACTTCTATTAGTTTTCATAATTGTATTTCGACGTTTTCATCGCGACAACATTTCCACAAGTATATTACTTATATATTTAGATATGGTAGTTAAAAATGATCAATTATAGACTAATTAAACTAAAATTAAAATATTATTTACTAACTAAAAAACTTTGCATCTAAATCCACAATGTTCGGGAATACAAAAGAGAGCATTTGAAAACACCGAAGAACATCAAGGATCTAGAAGTTGAAGCAAATAGTATTTTAATTCATATCATTGAAGTCGATTAAAGAAAGTACTTTTAGGGGGAAAAAATAGAAAGTATTAGTGAGGATTTCTTCTGATTACAATCTGATGCGTTTCTGAAAAGTATCTTTCAATACATTGCAGGGAGGAATGCAACTAGATGAATGTTTCTTATGATATTAAACTAGTTAATTGCATGTTAAGCTTTCGAGTTTCTTCGAGCCGATAAAATTGACAAGTACATACTTGAGCTTCGAGTCGTTTGCATCACTTTAGGGTTTGGAGGTAGAAGAACCTCTTCGTTTACATTTTAGGTTATGTGTTTCATATTTTTCTATTCATTTGTAATGGCAGGCAGACACAGCTTTGGGTATACAAAAGAAGCCATTTTCTTTATATAATATTACAATACATTATATTTTCTCTACTCATAAGGCTCTAGCTTGATGGGTTAGTATTTCTATGTCTAATTATATTTTTATTAATCCTTATTATATATTCTTTAAGATTTTTTTTATCATCATTTTTAAATAACAGTTTTAAAAATGACTTTGTTGCTTGGGAGTTAGAGCTCAGCTCCCCTATACCTAAAGGCACCACAACAGAGATTTTGCTATAAAAATGGGTTGGAAAACAAATCAGTAGGACTCCCTTGATTTTGCTAGTTGATAATTATCCCGTGGTCATTCTTCAAAACTGAGAGTTAATTGGCTATCTACGTGGTAACCTTGCATCTCTGGAAGTGTGGAGTGGTGTTCTTTTTAGACTTCAATGAGAAAGATGAGTCAGCCAAATATGAAGGTGGGAAACGGTGACATTTTTTGATACTTAAAGGTTGAGAGAATGGAAGGTTTCTCTGTCTTAAACAAATTTGAAAGCAAAAATTTGTTAGGTTTATTATTTTAAGGCTTTCTATGTAGTTTTGTCGAATTGAAGATTTACTGAAGAACCAAAGGAAACGCTTCTGAGAGAATTATTAATCCATCTTAAATTACTTCATAGTGCAACAAAAATGTTTTGATTGTCCAGCTAGTGAAGTACCTTAGAAATTAGCTTGCCCTCCCTCCCTTCTTCTGGTAGAAGGGAGCTGGGAATGAAATCAAGTAATTCCAACTTACACTATGAGGTTTTTTTTAACATTCCGACATGTTTTATGGAAATCAATCAAACTCCAAGGGAGTCTTAGGTGGGGTAGCACTTTCTTATGACGGGTGGTCAAGTGATTATGTGAAACTTGCTTCAAGTAACTCGAGCAAAATTAGAATTCGCGGACAATGTTCGATCACGGGTCTAGCCTCAGCTCATATTTTAGCAGAACATGGTTTATAAAATATAAGTAGAAAAGAACATTTGAAAACATTTTTAAAGAGATAGTTGTAGACAGAAACGAAAACAAGAAAGAAGAAACTTGTTTAGGTTATTTCCAAAATTTCTATACAATTTTGAAAATGTTCCCAAAAAAAAGAAACAAGAAACCTAGTTGTTGCATGATGTTTAGATTTCTTAAGAAAAATTGAAAACAGAAAACGGAAAGGTTATTAAACGGGCCTTATATTCTAAGTCAAATTTGCAATGACTGGTTCAACATTAGACACAGCAGGAGTTGCTCACTTGCAAAACTCTATACAAATAGTAACAAAACTAAATACATGGCATTGAAAGGATAGTTGGGCATAGTTTGGGTATGTGATCATAGGCAAACACTCCTAGACGAGCATGCACGAGATACTTAGCTTCTAGAACAAAAAATGCACCGGGTAAGGTGAGAGCGTGGACATCAACGCTTGGGTTTTAAGGATATTAAGTGTTCTAATAAAGTTGGGTTTTAAGGATATTAAGTGTTCTAATAAAGTACTTCTTGCGAAGCACTCTCGAAGAATTATCAATGATCTTGAACCTCTTCTTGCTAAAATCCTTAAAAGCCAAATACTTTCCTAATATTGATAATCTTATACTTCGAGAAGCGTTCTCCGGGAAGCGAGTTGGTTTTGAAGGGGGCTGGCTAAATGGAGAATTGGAAGGGGCTATACGGACAAGTGGATTCTAGGGGCCAACGCGTTCAAGGTTTTTCTTTTATCTCCTATCAATTGTACGGTTGGCGGGTCTATTAAAGAACAAAGAACCTGGACAGTTGGTTTGTTCATCTAACTTCTATTCCACAGGTAAAAAGCATGCAGATGACTGTCAAGTGGTCACAAAATGCTATAACAAGAAAGTCTCAGAGAATACAGAAGCAAAATTTAATGTGGGAATTTGTGTGATTGCTATCTCCAACTTATTAGTTTATGATGTCTTGAAAACTGGGTACCTGAAATTAGGTTAGAGTTCAAAGTGTAGCGATGCACTCGATTTCAACCTTAGCATCCAAAGGCAATGCTGCAACCTGAAATGTTGACCGAGCTGGAGCAGGGGACAGAAAGTCTGCATAAAAATTAGCAAACAAAACCAATGTGAAAACCATGTCAACTTCAGCTTGAAGTCACTAAAAATGAAGTTAATGTCATCAATCTGAGGAAATCACAGATTTTTTAGTTGAAGAATACATTCTTATCTCAAGAGAATATATCAAAGCAATATGGATAGAATCATAGAATCATCAATTCATCGTGATTTCAATTACCCTTCAGTAAATAGAACATCCACTTTTCATCAACTGACCCGCAACAATTGGATCAAAAGAAAACCATGAACCAATATATCAAAGTATCGAAGTAACCACCATGTGGGTAATTTCACACAGCCAGAAAAATAGGTAAAAAGAAAAGTTCATCTTATTCTCCAAGTAGAATCATATACAAATTCATCGAAGATGCAAATTTTAAATTTACTAAAATAACTATACTCTAGAAACTAAAGTTGAACTGTAATGGGCACAGAGGGTGATCATAAAGGCATATCTAAGCTAAATGCTCAGCATCCGATAACTGAGAGATTAGAGATTCAGTTTAAGTTTAACAAAACTTACATTTAGCATAAATCTCGTTTACTTTCTTGAAATCCTTCAGATCAGCCAACCTGCAAGAAATAATTGTGAATAAATAACTGAATCAGTGGAAAAACGTAGGGCTGCTTGGTTATGTTCTGAAAGATCTTTTTCAATACTTTTAGAACAATCCATTATTGAAAATGGGTCTAGGTAAATATCTGATAGACCTAGGGTGATGAACGTTTACTATAGGAGGAAGAGACACGCGGGTATAGCAGAGAAAAAGTAAGAATTCTGTTAGAGGGGAGGGACCAGTGTACGGGTAAGAAAGGGTATTTTGGGCATGCTGTTAAGGTATATACTCCTTGTAGAGAGGTAGGTGTTTTATCTTTTCAGGCTATTGTCTGTAGGAATGTTTGGGAGAGATCAGGGAGCTCTCCAATTCTCCCTAGACCCTTGTAATCCCTCTAATCATAAATAATAAAAAGGAGTTTCTATCAATATCGTCTAAGAATTGTTCTCTCATAAAGATGACATATTTCTTAGAATAGAATCCTATTTTTGTCCATAACTTTTGATACTCATTCTTCAAGTCTCTGAATTTTAAACATTCTAGTCCCTACACTCTTCTATAAACGTATTTTTCATTCATATCATTGATTTTCAATTAATTATTTAACAAAAGTCTTCATCCATTTTGATCCTCAAAAAATAACTTATTACATCTACTTTCAAATACTACTTGTTCACATGGACGTCTACTCATCAAGTAAATTATCAAAAGATATACTTTGTCAAGCTTCCATAAAGTGATTTATGCAAAAATAATTATAAAGACTAAAATGACTTTTAATATAAAGTGTAAGAGGCTAAAACAAAAGGTTGATAAATATGGAAGTAAAATACAATAAACATGAAATTTTTTAGACTAAAATCGGACCTAGACCTTTTTTTTTTTTTTTTTTTGATATGAAACAAATATTTCATTGATNTGATATGAAACAAATATTTCATTGATGGTATGAAATATACAAAAGGCCACATGGGCAATTATAAGAGAGCTTTCCAACTTGTAATAAGATCATTTAGAGAATAGCTACTAAAAATTGGGAAATATGACCTAGACCTTTAGAATAACTAAATTTGTTCTTCATTCCAAAATTATGAGATTGTAAATAGTGCTTGTTGGGTCAAACAATCTTAACTTTTATCAGCCACTCAAATGTTGTTCCTAAAAGTAGACAATACCATGAAACCATTTTTTAGAACAACTACCAAACAACTCCCTACTCTTCAAATATTAAGATCATAAAGCAAAGAGGCCAAATTTTCATACATAATGGTCGTCTTAACCACTGAAGCATAGCTAGCACCTCCAGCTTTCAATATTTCACCCATATTTTTGAGGACCTGCAATATTTCATTAACTTAGAAGTTTTGATATTCAGCTCAAAATTTTGATCTACAAGGACAAGGATATACCTGCTCAGTTTGGCCTTCAACATCATCTGAGACAAATTTCCCTGTCTGCATTCAAACATGAGGACACACATTATGTTAGACATCATGACAACATGCACACGCACACAAAGAGAAACCCACTTCATCCTTCTTCTTTTTTTTCCTTTTTACAATATCAATTACAAATCAAGATTGTGAGATTTATACTGGAGGCACTAATGTCTAACCCTAATCCCTCGAGCAATGTTTAGGTTGAATCAACACGTAAGCACAATCAAATAAAAGGGAATAACAATCATAAAGTGATGAAGCTACCTCAGGATTTAGACCTAGGACACCAGACACAAAGAGAAGGTTGTTGGCTTTGATAGCCTGAGAATATGGCCCTAATGCTGCTGGAGCCTTGTCAGTCTGAACAGCTTCCTTGATACCTGCCACAAAAGACGTTGACATTAAGTGGTGGTTATGCGTCTGTTTTGAAACATTCAGCACACGACAACAATCAGGGAAGGAAAACTATCCAAAAAGAGATACTAACAGCCTGTATATCTCCAAAACACTTGGAGGCAATTGAATAAGTGTTGTCTATTTGAATTTACTTAATGCCTATTTAGATTTTGATGGGAACCGAAAAGGCCTATTGATGAAAATTCATTTAACGAAATAAAATCAGCAAGAACAAGTCTACTAACTCTTAGAGAGGTCAGATGCTCTCTTCGTTGGAAGGAAATTCTAAGCCAAAAACACAAAATAATCTGATACACATGCAAGGCTCCAAGCCCACGTCAAATACGCTGATCCCTATGTGGCCTATTCCCATTCTAGCACATTACAATCAGGGAAGGACAAGTATACAGCACTCCGCATACTCTCTCATAACCGCTGTCCTACACCTTGTCCCCTTTATTCCCGACATTATCCAACATCCTCCTTGTATACGTATGGTGCACTGAAAGTCTTGGTTGCCCATCAGATTTTTGTTTATTTATTATTATGAAGAACTAATTTTGTACGAGTAAGTTGAACTGACTAATAATATTGTGTTCAATACATATCTTCATATCACATTTAGAAATTAATTAGTTTTTAGTTAAAAATGGATGATCAAAATTAAAATTTTAAATCAAGTACATAATTCTAACTCAAAATTATTTTGGTGATTTAGGATGTGAATGCCCAAGTTTATACCCGCTGCCTGCACCATACCATTCTAGAGTGTTAACGATGAGGTTTCTAATTTTAAGATGAAAAGAACTGAATTAGCTGCACATTTCGTACAAATTACAATGTTTCCCGATATTACAGTTTTCTTGCACAGAAAGGGGAAAGAATACCAATAATCTATTATTTCACCACCAAGCGTTAAATCTAATCCCAAAGAAAGGCCAGATATCAGAGCTTTAATAACTTGTCAGTAGAAACTCAAATCAAACCATACAAAATCCGTCCAAGGACAATAGAAAAAGGTAATTAACAATCCGATTTCTCTGA